ACAGAGATATATCTGCTACAGTCAATATGACTTGAATACCCCTGTACGAATAACGGAAATACACCTGCTACAGTCAATATGAATTGTATAGCCCTGTATGAATAACGGAGATATATCTGCTACGGTTAATATGAATAACGGAGATATATCTGCTACAGTCAATATGACTTGTGTTCTACAATGAAGAGTACTCGATTCCGGCAACAATGTTAATGACGGTACACTGGGGTGAAACTGCTCACACACAGACGAGAGCATTGATTCATATTGTGGCTTATTTTCCATACACATTACGTTCGATAAAATATTAAGTCAAGTGGGGGATTTCATTGGGAGCGATTATGTCACTTAAGTGGTCGCTTACATCAGGAGTCCGCGATTTGCATTTAATGAACTCTTTCTCAACACAGTAGCGGAAAATCTATAGTTTTATATGCATATTTACCGCTGTCAGAATTGTCAATTGCTGTAAGCGTCAAGCCCGTGATTATTTTGTTAAACTAGAAAGAAAGGACATCGATGCTCATTGCTGTGGAAGGCGCCTGACAAATCTGAAGAGTATTTTACTGACAGTCTAAGTACCCACATAGTCATTGTACGTTCCCCAAGTCGTACATAGTGCACAACCAACACGGGAGAACGCGCCCTTGTCCAACCAGGCACTGGTCCTGCTGTGACGATTGGTTTTGATTTCGATTTTATCCTGTTTGTAACCTTTGCATCGTGACTTGAGAAGGGAATTGCTGGGCGCACCATGGTGTGACTTGACTAACGATGAACATCACTTCTTGGCATCTGGATACATATAGTATTTAATTAGTAAAGACGTATATTTGAAGTAAGCATGTACGTCTCCCGGCCACCTGACCCCTGGGTAACCGGGTGTTGTTAAACAAACGTCATCATCAGTCCTTCTGGTCCGATGGACGTGGGACAGACAGAAAGACAATAGTTTATTAACGTCTCACTTCTGTACATACATAAAACAGCTTTGTACAACTTGACATAGATAAAATGTACATAACCATTCAATAGAATTATGAGAGACAAATTATCACAGATTTATAAATAAATGATATAAAGATGATATAGTAAGAAGTTCTCCATATAAAAGATGTTTTCTACGATTAAGAATTAAAAAGCAGACTTTGGCAAGTATAAAACACACACTGGAGTCACTGAAAATTAAACAAAGTTTGTCGATATCAGGTATATCTAAAACATTATAAGATTTAGCAATACATTCATTAAAAAGAGTTGCCCTGATATCATCATATAATACGCAGTGACACAAAACATGGACCTCGTCTTCTACACTGTCATTACAGTGAAAACATTTTCTATTGTTGACAGGTACACCTTCGTACCGACCGGTTTCCACTCGAATAGGAGCCACGCCACATCTAAACTTGGCTAGTGCCGATCTATAGTTTCTGGGCATCTTATTTGAAACATAGTATTCTGTCCCATATACTTGTTTGTAACATCGGTACATTCTCCATTTATTAAGCCCATTTCGCCCCTCTTCCTTTCTTAACATATCACTCCAACGGGTAACATATTCATACACCATTGTTCCACCTGTGTACAAACAGAAAACTTATCAATAAAACCTGTAGCGTTTAATAGATGTCCTAAATCCATATTAGTAAACTTCTTTCTTACCTTACAATTCCAATTTTTACAACCATTTACAGCGTATCTATCAGCCCAGTTAAACACGTGTTTGTTTAACCTACTAGACATATTCTCAAGGCGACACCATTGTCTTGCTCCACTTTTCCTCTGTCTGACAACAGCCGGTATCCATCCCATGTGGGATGTGCTCGGTGGCCAGTTCATCTAGCATGGCGATCAGCTGTTTATACACCCACCAACATATTGTTTACATAAACATACACTCAAATAAGCCCTTACAGACATTATTTAATAAGCCCAGCCAATAACATAGCTTTATAAGTTCAGTCTGTTTTGACAAAAAACACTTATTCGTGAGTCCAGTCTCGTACATACAAGAGCGCGTGCGCACACGCACATACACACACACACACACGCACACACACACACACACACACACACACACACACAGGTCCGGACTGGTTGAATCAGCCACAAACACACATACGCGCGCACGCACGCACGCACGCACGAACACACACACACACACGGACATGCGCTTTCATAGAAGAGACTCTCACTCTAGTGAACGTACCTGTTCTGACAGATCTGAGTAATATTAAGCCAACAAGAGTTGTTCCCCTTACCCGTTCGACATCCCCAGTCTTGTTCACTGTAGGGTTTTACAGGAGACCTAAAAGATGCGTTTATATTGGTTGTTTAACGTCACACTCAGCAATATTTTATCTATGTGGTCTTGACCATACAAACCAGTGACTGATAGTATGAGCAAACTTGACCAATCAATGTTGTATCAATGTGACGTCTGTTTCACGCCTTGCATACCTCACCTCAGACTTAATGTTGTATCAATGTGACATGTGTGTTTCACGTCACAGGATATCCATCAGTGATCATATCTTAGGCTGACGAATATACATCTATACAATCATATAAACTAGTAGATGTAAGGTGATGTTGGGCGTCACAGGATATCATCAGTGCTCATATCGTAGGCTGACAAACATACAAATATTCATAAACCAGTGGGTGTAAGGTGATGTTGGGCGTCACAGGATATCCATCAGTGCTCATATCTTAGGCTGACAAATATACAAATATACATATAAACTAGTGGATGTAAGGTGATGTTGGGCGTCACAGGATATCCATCAGTGCTCATATCTTTGGCGGACGAATATGAAAATATAAATATATATAAAATCATGAGCATCGACCCGAGCAATTGGGATACGATGACATGCATCAAACCAAGTCAGCGAGCCTGACCACCGATTCCGTCAGTCGCCTCTTACGACAAGAACAGTCACCTTTTGAGGCAAGCAAGGGTTGCTGAAGATCTATTCCACATGTCGACGGTTACAAAATAACCATTGTTTACAGTAAAGAACATATGTTTATTCGGACATGAAATATTACAAAACTGGTATTTCTGGTTAGGTCAGTGATTATTATTCCATAAAAAACATATTTCGGCGCGTAACTGTGTTTAATGGGAAATAATTACAGTCGACATATATTGATCAAAGATGAGCGAGTGAATGAGAGTGAGTTGAGTGGTTTGGTGAGCAAGCGAGTTGATGAGTGGGTGAGTAAGTGAACCAGTGAAACAGAGTGAGTGGTGAGTGAATCAGTTGCTGAGTGAGTGAGTGAGCGAGTGAGTGAATCAGTGGCTGAGTGAGTGAGTAAAATACATGTAGCTCATTTCATGTGTTCAGACTTATTTGCTAATTTCTAGATTATATAAATAATAAGAACAAGTTGTCCCTATAAGACTGGCGTAGAGTTCACTTATCTAGACTTGCCTTTTGTAAGGGCAGGCTTACTAAACACACAGGGCAACCTTGTAGCAGAGACCATTATATTATTTTGTGGTCACAACTTGTAGTAAGGCTACGGTCAATCGTGTTCTCTCAAGTCTCTATCTAGAAAAACCGGAAGTCTAGAAGAGTCTGGAAGTGTTCGTAAAATCTGTAATCAACTCGTCATTCAAGCTTCTGTTTGAGCGAAAGGATCGTCAGTGTGTGGTGAGGTTGGTTCAACTTGTTTTCCATCAGATGAGAGTTCAGTTTCTGGACCAAAATCTATAAGTTAGTGCCAGGTGGAACGAGTCTAACCTCGACATGACGTCGAATGCAGAGCATTGTGTAAGCAATGGTGGAGACGCAATCACGGGATTGATATAAGAACACACTAAAGACACCCTTTTCTAAATCAAACAAAGACTTGTGCAGCACTAGGAAAATAGCGTTCTCTCCTGTAAAGGTATATCTATGATTGAATGATGATTTTCTCGAACTGGGGGTTATACCCCCTGACAGTCTTCCGTGGTTTGCTGCCCGAGCTAATCTGAAACCATGTTTCTGTTATTCCAAACAAATATAATGTTTGAAAGAAATGACAGAAAATGCCAGTCAGTTATTTCAGAGGCTAGTCCCCCCCCCCCCCCCCCCCCCAACACACACACACACACAAAACGAAAAACAAATGAATGAATTCCTTATGCTCCGCCTCGAACAAGACAGGTTGTACGTGATTTGGGATCGAAGAAGTCCCTTATTCTACGCTTCGAAGCAAAAAAAAAACACAATATATTTTTTCGAGTCACGCAACGTCGCGTGACATAGCTAAATTTAACCTCAGCTCACTCGAACAGCTGTTTTCCATCAATTTTGGATTTGTTTTAATTCTTTTGCAATGAGTTTAAAACATGTCGGTAAGATAAATTCGTTGTTGGAGTATCACTCAGGGTGCATGTGTTTTTTTTTAGTCCCACTGAAGCGGGTGTAAAATACGTTCTGGAATTTTGTCGTAAGAAATGATCCAAGGGAATTGTTGTAGCAAAATGTCTTATAGAAATGCTTGAGAGTGTATTTAAATATATATTTGATATTTTGTGCTAAATATACTCATTGCATACAACATATTTCACGTTAAACCAAAAGATATACACAATTTGATACAATAAGTTGATAATGCTTGTATTTACCACAGTCCGCAGTTGTTCCTGAGCAGTGAGTGTCTACTACAAATCTGTGTGTGTTCATATCACCGTCATTGTCACCATCACGACAGCACCTTGACAATCATTGTCACCATCACGACAGCGCCTTGACAATCAGTGTCCCCATCACGACAGTGCCTTGACAATCATTGTCACCATCACGACAACGCCTTGATAATCATTGTCACCATCACGACAGCGCCTTGACAATCATTGTCACCATCACGACAACGCCTTGATAATCAGTGTCACCATCACGACAGCGCCTTGACAATCATTGTCACCATCACGACAACGCCTTGATAATCATTGTCACCATCACGACAGCGCCTTGACAATCATTGTCACCATCACGACAGCTCCTTGACAATCATTGTCACCATCACGACAGCGCCTTGACAATCATTGTCACCATCACGACAGCGCCTTGACAATCACTGTCACCATCACGACAGCGCCTTGACAATCATTGCTTTCTTCTCCTCTGTCATGTTGATGTCGCTGCCCACTACAAGTGTCATGCTGACATTACCCAATGAGGGCATATACACCCCGAACATCGGCCACAGTGGCTGACTGGAGTCTACATTGTCTAACGTCGACATCACTTTGTTCTCCTTCACATCAATGAAGACAATCTTCTTCCTGGCGTCATCATAGACAACACCGTAATGTAGTGTGTGTGATGCCCCTGCTGTGTTGGGGAGAGTGTCAGGCAGACACAGCACATACTTCCCCTCCTTCCATGTCGTCCTGCATATCCCGCCGTGTGTAGTACAGTGACAGTGGGCGACCTGCATGCTGCAGGAGCTGGGTTGTCCACTGATACAATGCCACACGTCCCTCTGCTCCTCCCCACACACACCCAGCTCCAGGATGAGCCAGTCCTCTGTGAGTGGTTCGTCAAGACTGACCCTCGACTTCATCTCCCAGTACTGGGGACAGCTAGCCCGGGGGAGGGGGGCAGTGCTACATGTGCCATCATACTCCTTCAGTCTCCCCTCCCCTGCAGGTCTGGTGTCCGACTCCCTGTTGACCAGGTCTCCTTCTGTGTTGATGTGGACTGTGTCGAGATTGACTCTGTCTTTGTCATACTTCAGATGTATACCTACAACATATGAATGTAGTTTACTTGTGAATAAAACATAAGACAAATAGTGATAGTCAAGTTCTATAATGATATTTAAATGAAAGAAATTCACAATGTACTTATATACAAACAGTATAATATAAGAACATAAAACCTTCTATGTAATACCTTGGATCTTTGTGTTTACATTGGATTCACTGATAATCCTTTAACCCGACTGTAGAATTAGTAAGTAACAGATCTAGTGCCTGGCTCGTCAGTTGTCAAATTATTCAGAACGGCAGACACACGACATCAACATTAATTACGTCACAGAAATCAGAAATATATGCAGTTGAGATTCTGGATTACAAATACGTGGGGATATACAGAGCACGAAAATCACACAGTGGGCGAACAGACGCAATCACAATATACACCTTGTTTTAACAGAGACACGAATGAACGTGGTATAATGAGGAACATGCAGATTGAATATCAGTGTTGAGATCACAGTGTCATGTGACCTGGTGACGTCATCTAGAAGCTGGTGAAGTATTGTGTGGCACGTTGCAGGACGCACGTAGGTTGACGATGGATGATAGTTTGGTAAGACAGCATTGTCAGTACAGGACACAAACAATAAATAACAAATAAACAATAAACCCCATTATTTTGATATATTTCTGGAATATTCTGGTAGATTGTAATGTGGAGTAGATGTATGTTATAATGTCCTTCTGGTTTCTTTATGAAGAACTTGTTGGGACTAAAAGCAGCTAAATTGAATGTAAATATGCAAATATTATTCGAACAACCTTACCCCAGACCCGTGAAGATAATAAATCTTGCTTGCCATTACAGGCGACTAACAGGATCGGGTGGTCAGTTTCGTTGGCTTGGTTGATGCATGTCATCGTATCCCAATTGCGTGGATCGATGCTTATGATGTCAATCACTGGATTGGATCTCCGACACACCTAACTTGCAACAAATTACCGAAATCACTCATTAATCAGTCTCGTTAATCCGACACAGTGATCAGCGTACTCCGTGGTCATCTGCCCGCGAGTACACAGTCTGTGTTTTGATGCGAGACGAGTCGTCGAGTAGCTGCATATTTCAACGGCTGCACAGATAAACTTGCTTAACAATAAACAATTACTGCTTTAAATAAACAAAACAGGATTAATCACATGCCTAGATGGTATCCTCCCAAATCGTAGACCTGCCAAAACGCAGACCCGTTAAAACAACACTCGTTATGGCTGGTTGCATCAGTATTTAGTACTCTGTACCCTTAAGTAAAATGGTTTCACCCATGTAACAAGAAAGAAAGCTGGTTAGAGTTCACAATTTTTTATTCAAATGTTATTTCATGATTATCAGTCATTTTCACTTGTTTATCATCAGTGGACCAACTGCATCCAGGTACTGAAGGGGTGTCTTTTCACGGCGATGAAGCTGTTCCTTCTCTCTGTAGACAACCTTCCTGGGTGGCGGTGCGGCTCCAAATTAAATCTGCGCTAGTTTCGCTCTCTCCGAAATGTTTACCTTCTGGATCAGTTCTGGAGTGGAAACCTACTAGGTTGTTGTTTGTACGGGGCCCTTGTGTCGCATGGTATATCCACAGTCGAGGTGGGAACCCGGCATCGTCATCCACCCATGTCGTAACCTCCAGTACACATTTTCATTCTTCGTCCTGTACTTAGCATACGTGTAGCCGTCTAGGAGAACTTGTGGGGCACCTTTCTGGGACAAGACATACTCATTTTTCGTAAGTCCGGCCATAGCTTAATTGGACGAGGTTGAAGCTTACTTACTTACTTACTTACTTATATTGGAGATTTAACGTGTGCTTTCCGACTGCAAGCGTAGGTCGCACACGGGAGGTTGACGCTCATGTTCAAATATATTTATTCTTCCCCGCCCTTAAGGCGGGGAAGTATACGGGAGAGGTTAATTTTGGAGCATGCAAGTCGACATGTTGGTTTCTTAGATTTTCAAGCCACACAGTTACCGAAACGAAACATACAAACCATGTGAAATGTGCGTGAAATGTTGATGTTTATCTTTTCCAGCAATAAGATATACTTCAAAATCGTCTTGCTATTCTGAGACTTAGTCACTTTTCGTAATGCTGATAACCCATGAAATTTGTTCATTTTGTTTTTAAAAGAGCTAAATATGATCCCATTTCGCTAAAGTTAACCGGTCTATATTTTGTAAGAATAAACTATTGCGCATTGAGCGATTATCTCCATTAGCTATAGGCGTAGTATAGAAGTGATAAATTCACGCACTGACCTTGCATTGCTTTACATCGTATCTTATTCAAGCTGTATCAGTGAGAGTGAGTGATTATCTCCCTTCCCCGAACAGTTCAATTGCGCACTGCCTTTGCAATGTATCGTATGTTATTCAGGCAGCCATCGAGAAACATATTGTTCAACACGATTAAATAACAGGCTTCTATAAAGTATGACATTCTTCAATAAACAACACATGTAAAACAACGGGTTTGATATGAGAAATTTTTTATTAGTTGTCTTCATAATCACATGTATGGCTCTTGCTGTGCATAGTTGAGCACAGCATTGTTTTAAATACTTCACTGTATGTAATGTATGGTACATACCGTTTCATGCGGCGGTTTACGTTTCTGCATGGTTTATTGCTTTGACAAAAAAAATTAACTTCCAGCAGAGATCATACACCCGTATATGTTCTTTGCTTCTGGATACATAGGAAATCAACAGGTTGGTCTGTAGTTTGCAATTATTTTCCAAAAAGATAATACGGTTGCATGATATTTTCACGATGTTTGGGTTGAACATAGTAACATTCTTCTAAACAAATTTCCAATCTAAGCCGGAAGCAATCACAACACAAACCCAGTTAACCAAACGGAACCATACACAAGAGTGAGTGAGGTAGTTGGGTTTAACGCCGTCTTGAATAGTATTCCGTGTCAGCTTGAAGTGGGATGAAAGTCTGAAGTGATGCAGGTCTTAGACGTTCACCACTTTGGTGAAACCAACGAGCAAGCACTGCAAACACGAAAACGTCGTTTTTTTCCGTATATGGTCATTGGACGGAAAAACGACGTTATTTGGACGTTTTCAAACCATCGTTTTTCCGTCCAAATAACGTCGTTATTTGACATCGGAATTTACTGGGAGAGAACGATAGCGTTAAGCTCCTCCCTTTCTTGATTGGCATGGAAATAGACACAGAGGCAATGGAAGCAAGAATCCCTGCTGAGAAAATCATACAATGTCAGCAAGCAATGACAGATTTACTTAGGCAAAACAAATACAATCACTACTGGGTTTACTGAATTTTATCTGCAGGACCATACCAATAGGCCGTCCTTTCTCTCGCAGACTAATTGATGCTACTCGACATGCAAAAAAAAAACCAATCATCATTGACGCAAGAAGTCAAAAAGGATTTACAAGTGTCGCAGGAATATCTGCATCAGCACAATGGATAGCGCTGAAGGTGAGGGGAGAGGTTTCGGCCTATATTTTGGGTATCAGTGGTCCTATGGTGGTTGGCCATCCGAGTTTTACAGAGGACATAACCTTTTTTGAGTTCTTTCCAATTCTGGTAGCAGTACAGCTGTGGGCAGATCAGCTAGTTAACAAGGAAATTATGTTTCATTCGGACAACCAATCAGCACAATTTGACATCTAAGTCTGCACGTGTCATGGTTCTTGTTAGGTCTTTTTGTGCTTCACTGTTTACAGCGCAACATTTTAGTAAGAGGACAGTATATCCCAGGTAGTAAGAATGTCATCGCAGATGCTATTCCTCGTTTTCAGGGAACACTGGGACAACTGGAAACAGAAGCTATCATGCTACTGGAGCTTTCACAAGCTGACAACACTAAGAAAGCCTATACAATTGCTTTGCATTCCTTTGTCAGGTTAAGATCAACTTACAACATACCAGAGCTATGGCAAGCCCCTATAGAACACTTACTTCAATATGTTTCATATACTGCACAACAAAAGTCCCTGTGACATTGAATAAGATTTAATGCAAAGTTATGTTTTTTTACCAAATCTGAAACAATTTCGGTTTGCAACAGAAAAACGACTCCTGTAAGTGTTCAAATGGTTTAATTGGCCATACTGACTTCAGAAAATGCGTGATTTCATAAAAAAAACACGAACATGCCAAAATGTCAATTTACAAATCAATAGCGTGTGTCCACCCCTGGTTGCGATGCAAGCAACACATCTTCGTCTCATGGAATGGACCAGGCGTCGCACAAAGTCCTGTGGGATATCTGTTCACATCTGCTGGAGCATGTTTCTAAGTTCCTGGAGTGTCTGTGGAACAGGTGGTTGACATCGAAGGCAATCATCCCACATGTGCTCGATTGGTGAGAGATCAGGGGAGCGAGCCGGCCAGGAGATGACATTCACGTTGTTTTGTTGAAGAGAATCCTGCACAAAACGAGCAATATGAGGCCGGGCTTTGTCATGTTGGAAGGTAATTCCTGGGCCGTGACGACGCAAAAACGGTAGAAGAACAGGGCCGATCATCTCGTCGCGGAAGCACTGTCCATTGAGATTTCCCTCTACCACTATCAAACGGGTCCTCTGACTTGCTGTAATCCAACCCCATACCATAACGCTGCCGCCCCCGAACCGATCTTCTTCCATGACACAATGATTGACGTAACGTTCACCTCCACGTCGGTACACTCGAATCCGTCCATCGCTGTGGCTGAGGTGAAAACGTCAGTGAATCTTGGGTAGTGAAATGCATCGGGCTTGCATAAAAGTCAACTTTTGCATGGAATGCATGCTTTTCTGTAGCAGTTGCGTTTTTGTGACTTGATTCCATACATGTACTACAATATTGAAAACCAAACATTACTTGTTTGAAAAATACACTAAAACATTGGTGTCACAGGAACTTTGGTTGTTGAGTATATTTATCTCTGCACAACAGACCTCATTCAACTGCATCATTACATATGGCAGTGATCTGCTGGTATCACAAAGTAATGAAGCTTGCAGACACCACTGATCACTTCATACTTAGAAAAAATATTGCTCGTCATCATGGTGGCAAAGGCAAACCAGATTCTCGTGCTCCGATTACTTTGGACATACTGCATAAGTTAAGCACAGCACTAAACCATTTTTGTACTCCAATTATGAAATTCGCCTTAAGGGTAAAGAGATGTGTAATCTGTGACATCGAGAGCAGAAGTAGAAGAAGATTTACACTTCTTTTTTGTATGTACAAATTACCATGTTCTTTGAAATGAGAATGTATTTTTACCAACATGGTTATTCTTTACAAACGGTGCAATGCGGAAATTCATATTTGAGTGAGGAAGAGCAAATCCTAATATTAGGTTCTATTCAAAACTTCACATTAAAAACTGGCAGTTTTTCAGTTAAATGAATTGTTTGATATAAACTGCAAAAAGATTTATTATATATACACATCTAGATTGACATGTACAATTCATTTGTTACATCTAACCTTCATTGATGTATTTATTGTAATATATCCTACACTGTATGTGTAATTGAGGGGTATTAACATAAGCGCATTGCTTGTTTACCAATTCATTTTCACACTTTTGTAAAAATAAATATGTTTAAACCAATAATGTACTGGTGAGCGAATGATGCAGGTTGTCATAGGTGAATAATAGAGATGGAAACATTCTACATACCTGGGTGACAATGTTCATATTGATATTGTTATGTACAGTAAAGTTTCGTTAATCCGACAATCGGCTTTATCCGACACTAATGATGTGAACCGATTAAATCAGTGCTATTTAGATCCGAAAACCCGACAGTCTCGCACTCCGACACACCTAATTTGCAACGAATTACCGAAATCACTCCTTAATCAGTCTCGTCAATCCGACACAGTGACCAGCGTACTCCGTGGTCATCTGCCCGAGAGTACACAGCCCATGTTTTGATACGTTGAGGGTTGGCTGGTAGCTGCATATTACAACGGCTTCAGAGATAAACCTGTTTAACATAAAACAGTTAATGCTTCAAATAAAGAAAATAGGATTAACCACATGCTTAGATTGCCTCCATCCCATTGGAATCAGATACAAGTTCTCGCTATCGCTGAGGACATCCCATTACAGGTCACGTCAGAACAACCTTTCGCGAACCATGATCGACAAATGAAATGACTAACAGGAAGTCAACGTTAGCCACTTAGAAAGCAGCTTTCTTAAGCTTTGCGGTACCAGTTTCAAACTTGGGACTTCCATTTCAGACTATGCTTTTTAATGTATTTTGAATAAGTCAAAAGTCCGTAAACGTTGTTTGGTGTTGAGCTTCAGAGGTTGCATGATTAGAAACATATTCCGCTAACAACATAACACAACAATATGAATATTTCACTTTCATTTTTTTATTACGTGTTTGTATCATTATCTATTGTGTAGTTCCTATTTTCGATCACGAACGTTGATACTACTTAATTTCGTTTATCCGACATACTCGTTAATCCGACATAATCATATGCAACCAACCATGTCGGATTAACGGGACTTTACTGTATCTTACAGCTGACTTAAAGAGCAGAGACCAAAAGGGGAGAACACCGGTGATGGTTGCATCACAGACGACTGAGAGGAAGGTATGGGACTTCCTGGTGAGCAAAGGTTATGAATTGTCAGTGGATCAGTCGTACAGATTCAGTAGCAGGTGGGCTATGTGGAGGCTTTGGGCACTACACGTTACATTTAGTTTTTCAGGAACGGGGTCTCTACAGAAATAATGGCAAAACATTGGTCTCCACACATCAGTCAGTATCGACGACGTTGAGGCATTGGCCACTTACACCAAATAACCAACCAATGGGGTTCTCCATAAACATGATGGCGAAGTCTTGGCCTTCAGCAAAACTCGTATGAAAACCCTAGAGAAGCTCTGTGCAGGATGTGGACGCGCGCGAATGCAGGTACTGGTAAGCATGTCTGTGTGTAGATATGTCTTCATATTGTACACCTGCCAGTGTGTTGCCATTTCAAAGGAATAGCTTGAGCGGAAGTCATCAACAGCTCCATTGATTACTAATATAAGGGACTTCTGTGCTCTACAATCACACGTCAGAATGCTGGCAGTGACAATTGGATCTGTAAATCTTGACATTAATGCAAGCGTGAATTATTTGCGAAAGTGTGTAATAAACTTTTCACGATGGGCATCCAGTGAGTTATCTACCCACTCGTGTCAAGCATGTTGACACCTTCTCTGCAGACCAATCAGTGAACAGTTGTCAGTTCAATTATTGAATTGCCTTTGAACTACCTTAATGCCAATTCAACAGGGTAAACATATAAACTCTGTGTTGTTTTTAGCGCCTTAAACAACAGAGGGTTTATATGTTTATATGTTTACCCTGCTGTTTGATTGGATTAAGGCAAGTGTGGATTAAGGCAAGGCAAGGCAAGGCAAGGATATGAATCATTCCACTGGTAATTTCCAGATTTACAGTATATGTCTACGTGTCTGTGTACCGGTTTACGCATTGCCCTGGCTGTTTAAATTCATATTGAGCTCATCGAAAGCTATGCTTATACACAAAGGACTGTTAATGTTTTCAATACACTTTGCAGTATATATGTATTTGTGTCTACATGTCTACATAATATGTGTATGCATGGGCTTGCATACAGATAATAACGTTAACACAATCATATGCTGTATAAGTGGTGAGTTGTTCAGTTCAGTACATATTATGTGTGTTTGTTTGCAGAACATTCAGCATGCCCAGTGATCATTTAGGTCTTGAAAAAAACTGATATGAAGATGTTTTTTAGCTTTTCGGGCACAGAATAGAATATAAAATGCAAGTGGTGGAATCGGATTGGTCCATTGAGAGGCTCAGAAGGGACATAACTGGTAATTACCACTGGTTGCGCTACGATCGAGCCCACTGATTCCAGCCTAGCTCGTCAAGGGTGGAAACTGGCCTTTTTTTAGCCAGTTAACTCTCTTGCCTCGGGGAGATGGAGTGTCCTAGACCGGACTAATGCCAACTAATGGCGATTTGATAGTATTACCCCACAGAGATAATATGCTGCAGTTTAACGTGAATCTCAGACACAGTATACTGACCACTCAAAGAAGTTATACTGACCTAGCCGACCAGTCCTTGTTTAATTCACACCCCCCGTCCCCCCCACCCCCCACCCCCCCCCCCCCCCCCCCATTTAATACCGAGCGCCAGACACTATACACTATAACAACACTTATTATCTTTTAACGTCTTTTATTATGAGAGAGAGAGGGAGAGAGAGAGAGAGAGCGCATTGGAAACAGTTTCTGTTTGCGATAAAAAGAAGAAGAATATAAATCAAAATATAATGGGGCTTCATCCAATTAAATGTATCTCTGATCTGAAAACAAAACAATAAAATGTGTACTTACTGGGTTGATTCCTTTGTGTTCAGGGTCACATACTGAGAATTACTGACACAAGCAAATAAAATGTTCTACTCAAAGTGTATTAAGCATGGCCTGATCCCAAAAGTTTGCCTTTTGTTTTATCAATATATATATGTGATTTTTGAGGTACTGTATTGATGTAACTAAAACTTGTGAATCGATGCATGTTATGTGAAATCGGTCATTGTATTGTTCGATGGGTTGAAGGCGCTTTCATATAACAGTTATAGCAATATCAGCATCCTATGTTTAATGCATAATATGTGGCATAAAACATCCAACAACACGTTTTGATATTCACACATTAATTCTCATAGTTGATACACACGTATCCGTTATGTTTAGAACACGTTTTCAAATACTCACAGAAGAGCCAGTGTCCATCAGAGCCAAATCCCGTGGTGATGCTGACGTATCTGATTTTGTTGGGTGTTGCGTCTGTCCACGACATGAACTCCCGTCTTCCGACAGTGATGCCATATCCCACTGCTACTCGACCATCTTCATAGCTTATCCAGAATGGTAAATGCTGATCTGGAGAGAGAGGCTTGTGAAGAGCAAATGCCTCGTTTGTGCCCTGCTTACTTTCTCGGATGACAGACTTTGTGTTGCCAAATCCTCCAATGACGATCTCATATATGTTATTGTCAGTGTCGCCGTCGTTGGCGACCAAGGCAATGTGGGCGTCGTTAGAGGCCCGTACCCAGAACACGAGGGCCGGAATACAGTTACCTTTTCGTGTCAAGCGGACGCCACGGGTGGTAACAGTCTGGTACTGGTAGACATTGTCTGTTGCAACACCTGCTATAGGTACCCCACTGGACATGCCTCCATCAGAATCTGCAGGACAGGAGCGGTAGACAAATTATATCTGTACTAGAAAGTCTGTGTAAACAAGGTGCTGTCGGAGTCTGAAGGTAAAAGCGGTAAAAACATTACATCTTAAAAATACATAGTCTTTTTTTTGAACACTTAACGTCACATTGGTAGTATCCTAAAATGTAGTGACGAGAGCAAATCATACATAATTCAGTTAGCGAAGGTTCAGCAAACTAGGAAGATAAATTTCATAGATGCCATACAAAACAAAATGTTCTGTTGATAGTAAAATATAATATTCCAGCCAAAAAAAGAAGGATTCAATGACAGCATCATACTACAGACCAGTAGGGTCAACAAAAGTCTGCATGACCTGTCTGGGGGATGTTATTCCACTCTGGTTGCAAGGCCAACAACAAGTCGTGCAATGGTTTCAGGTTCAGGGTAACATTGTCGTACACGAGTATCAGGTTCATATCACATTTTCAGTTGGGTTTATTTATCCATTTTAACGTTAATATACATTATTTTCCATAATGTTGTAATTCCTGAATTTGTTTCTGAATAATGCATCATCTTCAAATAACAGAAGACATAAATGAAAACTATATCCGGTTAGAATTGTATCACACTGGTGTGGTAGTTTTAAATTTGAGTTGCTACTTCAGTATATAACCTCGCTCCGAGTTGTTCATAGAAGGTATCAGAAGAACCATTATGGTTATTCCTCACACAAGGTTATACATGGCCGTTACATGGTAAAGAATACTCGCACATAAGAAATTTTAGTTTTATATGGCTGTATCAGTCAGTTGGAAATGTAAATATGTTTCTTAAATTTCAAAATAGGTCTATAATTATGCTCTATCAATAATGGCATTCCACTTGAGAGGATAGTTCACGTTATGAATATTACAAAACCTTCAAGACTTTGCTTCAACAAGAAATAATTTTCAGTACTCACTACGGAAAACTTCAGAAAAACATCAACTTAGATATTGACTTGTCTTACATGAAGCTGTATTATTCTTATAATCTGTATCTTTACATTTTCTAAATTTATTGAAAGATCTGAAACATTCTGTGGTCAAAGCAATTATTTACTTCATTTCTCACTTTGCCATTTTTTCTGTTCCTGTCAGGTGAAGCCGACAACATGCCTCTGCAATATATTCTAGGCTTGTATCAATACATATAAATGCACTGTCAAGTGATTCTTGAACAACGTCGGATGAAATATTTTTTTAAACCGTTCAAGGTTTTCATTTTCCAAAATATATCTAAAAACACATTTACAGTTTTTATTCATTTTTAGGGTGGTTTCAGAAGTTTCTTCCTGGTTGGGATTGAAAGGCTTCATTATCGAAATAGTCCCTTTCACTGTTATAACACCTGAACTAGAAATAAAGGAGCCTTCATGACAAGAGGAATGACTTAATCTTTCCATTAGTCAACTGACAACTTTCCAGCAATATTCCAGCAGCTACAGCCTTTGGTGTCTACATTTCACAACTTTTAAGGTTCAATCGAGCATGCTCTTTCCACCACGATTTCAAAGAGCGTCATACGACTCTTGCTCAAAAAGTGTTTGATCTTGGTTACAACATTTAAGTCCTCAGCAGTGCTTATAAAATATCTTGGTGTGACTTGTACTAAGTGTTGCCATGTTGCCCCAGGTGAGCAATTGAATTGCATTTGCATATGACGGGTAGGAGCGGTGGGTCAGATACACTCACCTTTTTGCGAACCCATAGGGTCATCACAATGATTCAAAGACACATGCTCATGATATGGTCGGAATTGTTCAATGGAATCTTATGAATATGGAATGGGTTTTGTTGCTGTTATTTATTATGTTAATGGAAATATTACTTTTTTGTTCTTAGTTTTCAATTCCATTGATGATATCATTGGAATACCACTCAAAGACACTAAAGACATATTATTTCCTCTGTACTAATCCTTACCAAACTGCCAGGACCCAGAAGACCCGAACCCCGTTGTGACGGCGAGATAGTTGACCTCATAGGGAGCTGGGTCCGTCCAGGTCATGAACTGTCCTGCGCCAACAGTCGTCCCTGTGCCCACTGATATCACACCTCCTTCCCAACTGATCCAGAAGTCGCGGAATTCCGTGGAACTGAGAAGAGAATGAAATGTTTCGACCCTGTTGGTTCCCTGTCTGCTGTTTCTGATTATCGATCGCGTATTGCCATATGCACCGAGGACGATTTCGTACATGTTCTGTCCCGTTTCGCCATCATAGGTGAGCAAAGCCACGTGGGCGTCATTTGAAGCCTGGATCTGTAAGCATTTTTACATATATTTTCATTTCAGCCTAATAGTAATCAGAGACATACAAATGCTTGGGTGAGCACATTAGAACGTTGCATCAGCATTGTTTTAACCTTATAGAGTTATACAGTATGAGGCATAATTATTGAGAATTGAAAAATCTTTAAAATTGTAAATATGAAAATTTCTCCCCAAAATATAACATATTTTATGTGAGCACAAACCTTCTTTAATCACATCACAGAAGCATCAATATTTTATCAGACCACCATTTGCTTCCAAACACAGTTTTATACGATTGGGCATACTTCCTATTAGAGAGGTTAGAGTCTCGTGGGTGAGAGAGTCCCAATATCGCACCACCTCGCGCTTCATGTCATCAACTTTTATCAATCCCTTTTGGTTCACCGACTCCTTCATGAGTCCCCCACATATTTTCTATAAGTTTTAGTCCGGGCTGTAGCTAGGCCAGTGCAAAACTGTCACATTGTTGTCCACAAACCACTGCCGCGCATGTCTTGCGGTGTGTTTGGGGTCATTATCCTGTTGCAAAATCCAAATATTTCAATAAAAAATTCTGCATTTGGGATCAGGTGAGCTTCCAAAAAGTCTGTATACCTTTCACTGGTTAAATTACCCTCGAAAACACACATGGGCGTAGTTCCAAGTGAAGATATCCCTCCCCAAACATGAACTTCGGACTGTACTTTGGTCTCTGGTTCAGTGGAACGGAATGACATGTTGTCCACATTTTAACATTGTTAGGATATACCCATACAGAGCTCTCATCTGTGAAAATAACACTGTTCCAGTCAAAGTCTTCATGCGCCAAACACCACTCTACACGTCTATCCTTGTGTTCTTGTTTAAAGAGCGGGGAGGCAATTCCTTTCTTTTTTTCCCATCGAAGTTCAATCAAATTTCTTCTTACTGTAGATTTGGATAAGTTTACTGTCCCTCTGTTTGCCATTTCATATTGGATTTTTGAGATACTCGCCCTTCTGTTTTTAGAAGCCAAAATACCCATTCTCACACGATCACCAAACACCAGTTTTCAAGGTCTCCCCGCTCCTTTTCTGTGCTCGATTCCTGAACCATTCTCAATATTCTTCTTAACTCTATGCACTGTAGAAAGAGGAGTATATGTGCTCTTTGCTAATGTAGCAGCATCAGTGATGCCTTCATCATGGAGCTGTAGAATCAACCTTCTTTTCTCCTCTGCACTCACTCCTGATTTATATCAGGAAAGGTCGTCTGGTCCTTAATCAAGGGAGATAATTTGCTACTTCTAAAATTGAAGAAGAGTTGCTTCCCCTACCTCAATTTTAAACGCTTGTCAATATTGATATTTTATGTATGCTTCCTTGAATATGACATTAAAATTCACAATAATTTTGAACAAGAATGTATGTATATGAAGTAATGAAATCTAAATTTTATTGATCGTAATAAGACGAATTAGCTGCCAGATACATTACAGTTTCGGCATGCTGGATGTTCTCAAACCACGGTGGAAAAGGACTGTCTCCTCTTTTCATAGTTTTGATGTAGTGACCAAAAAACACATCTAGGCTCTAACAAAAGAAAAACACCCAAGACTAAAATATTATGAAACCAAAGAAATATAGGTTTAAAAGCTCTCCATAATCCAGCAATTTGAACCCAATACCAAGTGACTCAATACTTAAAATGTCGGTGAATGAGCTCTTGGTGTTTGTGGAAAAACTCAGCAACATTTATTTTCCCGTGTGAACGAACTGAACATTAATGAAAAGAACGCAAGCATGTACTGTAACCACCCAATACTCCTTTTGGGTTGCCCTCACGACAAGCCTCATACTGGGGATGCATTCTGACTCTGAAATAATGAAAGGTGACGAGGAATGATGAAATAAGATACTTTACTTTGAAATTGAAGGATGTGGCTTGTGATCTTATCTTCACATCCACCTCCTGCAATGACTGGTAGTTATACTGGGTGTCTGTCTCAAGCTCTACATACTGCCTCGTCGCTGACCAGCCATAAGAGTCTAAGAAAGACAACAAATAGTCAAGCACTGCGACCATGTCATATCCGCGCCGATACGGTACGATGACATGCAATCATGCATATTACCACCCTCTTACGACACGCATTAATTGACGGAATCCTTGTTTAACTCATTATCACGAATGCATCATTGGCAACAGTAAAAACGTCAACGCCAGAGAATAACCAAGCTCGATTATCCACCGAAACAGATTCCAGTGTCCAGGAAATATCGGGTGCAGATAATATGAATGGAACATAGAAATGCTGTCTAATAACATCCGGGCTTGAAAACCCTTGCCTTCCCTCGACAAGCGACAGGTGGATCGGGTGGTGAATACCAGCTTGAATTTTGCTGAGTAAGACAGCCGGAATAATACTTCTGGTGTACCTACGGTTACAGGCCAAGTGGTAAATCAGATACTAAGATGTAAATCCATGCCTTATATAGCGATTTTATAGTGCCAGACCACTGATGCCACTCGGCATGGATACCCCACCCAGACACAGTACTCATTACGGAAAACTTCAGAAAACATTTAATTAGATATTGTCTTACATGAAGCTGTATTATTCTTATAATCTGTATCTTTATATTTTCTAAATTTATTGAAAGATCTGAAACTTTCTGTGGTCAAAGCAATTGTTGACTTCATTTCTCACTTCGCCAGTTTTTCTGTTCCTGTCAGATGAAGCCGGACAACATGGCTCTACAATATATTCTGGGCTTGTATCAATACATGTAAATGCACTGTCAAGTGATTCTTGAACAACGTCAGATGAAATATTTTTTTAAACCTTTCTAGCTTTTCATTTCAGACAGTATACAGACTCAGAGGCGACCAATCCTTTTTTGGAACTTATAGTAGAGCACACGTTCTCTCCGATCAAAAGATCAACATTTTCTAGGGGTTCTGTCACGGAGCTGTGCTCCTGAGACCAGGATGTCCTTAAACAAGAATAAAGTAATAATTGAAAAACGTAACTTGACTCCTGATAGTAAATAGGCACTTGACCTAAAGTAAGCAATCACGGGAAAGTTGGTTATCGACGGATTACTTGGAAAATGGGGTACAAAATGTAAATATAAAAGCCTAGCTAATACGTTTTAGCTAAATACCAATAGAATACGTCAGTACCAGACAGAAAACTGCCCTTTAACCAGTAAGTAAGCATGATGGTCTAGCGATACCTGGAGGTAAAGATTTCGCCAAAGGTCAATACTGTAGGGCTATTGCGTGAAAATCAAAGTAACTAAAACAATTTCAATAAATTAATAAATTTGTATAGATATACTAGGTAACATATAACAAATACATCCATGATAAGTGTATGCGATTAAACTCCTAGTGAATTTCTTTTAAGGTTATTAATTCTCTAAGGCCAGGTTCACACAGTGCCGTTATGGCTACCTCTTGAGATCAGACAGCGCTTCGATACAAAAAGTGAAAAAGTCGGATTACTGTCCTCAATGATCTTGAATGTCCTGTCACAGTCTGAACGCAGCCTTAAACGTTCGTAACAGAGTCCTACGAATCGCGAAAGATCCAGAGAGGTCGGCCAAGCACTCCCGACAGTATGGTGCGTCCCGTAACATTCGGGAAACTCTGCCGATTTTGCCGAGTCGAATTACGTGCATGAATTGTTCATTGTCGTTTCTTTGCGATTGAGTCCAGATTGCGTCCAGATCTTGCCGAATGCGAACCGTCTTTGTCGGTTCACTGTTCTGCCACAGTCTGATCTCTGTCGGATCGCATTCGGGAGAATCGGGACACTGTCAGAACAGATTCGGTCGTTTTTCAACCGTTTGCCGAACGGTGACGACGCCGGGCAATTAAGAGAGAGGGAAGCAGTACTTTCACTAGACCGTGACAAGACTAGATTTACGACCCCGTCACAGGCACCAAAGTCACGTACCCAAACATATGGCGATAGGCTATTTCAACATTCTGGCCTATTAATATGGAAAATATTTAAGATGGAGTCTGAGAATAATAAGCGCTAGAGAATAATATTTACAATGAACGTAAAGACACTGGAGTACGATGACCCACAGAGTTTGTTGAACGGTGACGACGCCGGGCAATTTTTGTTTTGTTCGTTGTTTAAAACCGCAATATTCCAGCTATATGACGGCGGTGTGTAAATAATCGAGTGTCAACCAGACAATCCAGCGACTGACATCATTAGCATCTATCCACGCAATTAGGATATGATGACATGCATCAAACAAGTGAGGAATTCTGCTCACTCGATCCCGTTAGTCGCCTCTTACGACAAGCATAGTCGCCTTTTACGGCAAGCATGGGTTGCTGAAGACCTATTCCAACCTGGATATTCACGGAGAGAGGGAAGCGGTACGGTCATTAGGCCGTGAATACACTGGTTTTACGACCCGTTCACATGTACAGAAACATATGGCTACAGGTTATTTCAAGATGCTGGCCAATTGCTATGGAACAAATAAGAACCTGAGAAGCAGATCTTTGAAAAGGCAATTACGTCCTGTGTGTTCAAGAGAGTGTTTGACCAGACTAATCATGGTCTACACGCTGAGTGAGGTGTACGTGTGGGTGCATTTCACAAGACCGAGGAGCGTCCATTCCAATTTAGAATGAACGTTGGATTGCTTTGGAAAGATCGTTCATTCCAACCTTTCCAAAGCTTGGAAGGATCGATCTTTACGTAAAATCCAAAATTGGATTGGCAACATTTCCAAACATATTTCCAACACAGGAAATGTTTGGAATGACTTGGAATTGTTTGGAATTGTTTGTAAGTATGTTTAGAAGGAACACATTAAAATATGTTTTATTAGTAATTTGAACAATAAAAAGACTGAATTTTCTATTGAGTTTAAACTATACATAATAAATAATAAACTTACACTGCAAACACGAAAACGTCGTTTTTTTCCGTATATGGTCATTCGACGGAAAAACGACGTTATTTGGACGTTTTCAAACCATCGTTTTTCCGTCCAAATAACGTCGTTATTTGACATCGGAATTTACTGGGAGAGAACGATAGCGTTAAGCTCCTCCCTTTCTTGATTGACATTGTCAATCAAGCAACAGCGTCTACCGGTGTTTCTACTTCTCAGATTTCATTGGTCAGCCCCGCGTGTTAGATTACAGGCCCGCGTTTGACGCTGCACTCGAAGCGCTTAGCGGAAGTACTGAAATCAATCGTTCTGCGCATGCGGATTACTTAATGCCTTGACCAAATTTTTCGTTCTGTGCATGCGCGATTTCGCGTATTGTTTCCTAGATTTAATGTCACCACTATTTGACAATGGTTCATAAACACAGTCACGTGAAGGTTCGGAATCGTAACGAGTAACTCCATTTAAATTGAAGAGGATTCCCAGTGATATGGGAGATTCCAAGATGAAACTATTCTATGGCCATCTAGGCTGCCATCCCAACCGATCTAAACGGGACCCGATAGCTTATTGTATGCTATATAGTCATATGGAAGTGGACAAGAACTATACATTGTATTCCGGCCGATTGTTCTTGCATTTACTTATAAGTCAGGAAAATGGACTTAAAAGGGGAGTTGTTGAATGTAATTATTTTAATTATTAAATGTTGCCTATACACTAATCTGGACGAACTTCTCATTGTTCTGTTTATGTCATCCTATATACTATTAGTATGTTACCGTTCTAAAGTCAACCTCTCACATAACATTATATTGTTCATAGTATCAAGTTTAATCAACAATATCAAGAGCAGCGATTTAAACCACTGAAACACCCAAACACAAGGCTGTTATCAAGCGCTAGTGCAGACGTGATGCATCGTAAAAACTGTATCGTGATGTCTTCAGAAATTCAATTATACTACGAGATAGTATGGCTAACGCTGACTCACCGGTGGAACAAAGACAATATCGCTAATACAGATATAACGTATTTGAATGTTAATACTAAAGACAAACAATCATTATTTTTGCAGTGACGATATAACACGTATACACGTTTATTGTTAACTTTCATCAGTTTTGCTCTTCATTTTAATAACTTTGTTTTCACATATATATGTAGCAATACCCGACAAGCATGTCATACATAATTATGGGGCAGTTTTCAATCTTGTACTGACTTACTCTGGTGTTAATGAGCGAAGTTTATTGGCTTGTTTGTAAAACCCCGTTTTTCTTGTAATCCTATTATTACTTAGTTTAATTCTATCTAATGACACCCTGTTCTCTGGATCATGGCTTCGTGACTATCCATAACAATTAAGATGAACATTCAGTTCAAGTAAATGAATGAGTTTGTTTTGACGCTACAGTCAGTCAAAAAACCAATGCTGTGAGGTTTGATAACACACTTCTACCAGGTCGAACATCGTGGATCCTCATTTTCTGCCTAAAGAGAATCATAGTTCATATGCTAATCCATCTGCGAATACCCTCCCACTCAAGATGACCTTACTTGTTGCTAAATCTATCATCTATCCCCCTAATCTCACCCGCCCCCACCCCCCACACGCACGCAAACACGCACATACGCACACACACACACGCACGCACGCACGCGCGCGCACACACACACACACACAAAAACACACACACAAACAACTGACCTAAATAACCTGGACAGGAAATACTGCTGATAGCCTCTGGTCAACTCAGCCGCGCCACCGCAGAATGTTCGTCCAACTCTGCAGGGGGCATTCTCAGTGGCTTCAACCGCGCTGAAATGTTTTCGCCTTGCATCCAAGATGGTGGACAAGTGAAATCGTATGAAATTTGGCTATTTTAGGTCCTATCTCTTTTTTGATTACCCAATAAAGTCAATTCATAGTTAAACGGTTGTGAAGAAGCTTACAACTTTATGAGACTTATTCATCTCATTCCAAAAAAGCTACTCGCGCTCACATAAAGTTGTAGTTATTATGTCACTGTTTTATTTCTGTAAAAATATATTACATGTTCAACAATAACAATTAAGATGAACATTCAATTTCCGATATAAGTAAATGAATAAGT